GCCACCCTTGTCGCAGAGGACTGGCCCCACGCTCCTCGTCACCCTGCCCTCCACCCCCTGCACTTCCCATCCCCTCCTTTCCTTACCCCTCCCCGTCACGCCTCCCCCCACCCTCCTCACCCCCTGCCCTCCTCACCCCCTTCCCGCCTGTGATCCCTTGTCAGGGCCCTTTCGCAGGCCCATCCCTCAGTTCACCTGCTAGAGCTTTCCGCGCGACCCTGGCAGCTTAGCAACCAGGAGCCAGAAGCGGAAAGAGGGCAGGACCCCGCCCTCATCCTACGGATGCTGCGAGCCCTGGCATGTCAGGTTGCAGTTTCACACACCGATTTATTCATTCATCTCAAACTTTGCAGACCCAGTCTAGGAACTGAGGAGTACAGTGCCAGGAGCCTTCACCCTATTTTCTAGCTTTAGTTTAGTTTTCTGGTTTTAGTAATTTACTTTGTTCAAGGGGGCTGAAGCTTCCTTCCCTTTGGGGGCTAAGGGTGGGGAGGGATAGAGCTGTAGCAACCAAGCAAGCTTTATTTAAAAAGGGAAAGCAGAGGTCAGTCCTAGGAATCAAGACTCATTCTAGTTTACATCATTTCTTCTACCTTTGATAAATTTAAAATAGCTTCCTTTCCATTTTTTTTTCTTGATTTGAATTGATTTAAAATAGAAATTATTCCTTTAAAATTTTTTTCTCTCTCCTTGTGTATGTGTTTGCATGCATATGCCTGTAGATGCCAGGCTCCGGATCCCCAGGGAGCGAGTTCCCTGCAGTTATGAGCTGAAGTAGGAACTGGGTGCTGGGAACTGAACTGCTAGCCCTCTGAAAACAGCAGAAAGTACTTGGAACTCCCGAGCCATCTCTCCGGCCACCTCCCTCTTTTCATATTATTGTGTTTCAATGTGGACATATATGTAAGGCAAAGAACTTTGTGGAGTCAATTCCTTCCACCTTTGTGTGGGTTCCAGGGCACACACAAACGTGTTAGGCTAACCAGCCCTTATTCTTTTTAAAAAGTTTTTAATTTTGTGTTTGTATGTGCATGTGACTGCAGGTGCCCACTGAGGTCAGAGATCTTCCTAGAGCTGGAGTTGCAGGCGGCTTTGAGCCCGATGTGGGTCCTCTGCAGGCGCTACAAGTGCTCTCAAGAACTGAGCCATCTCTCCAGCCCTGTTAGTTTTTGAGACTCGTTCAAGGGCTTGTGTTAAGGATGTCCTACCTTAAGAGTGAACCTGCTGGTGGCTGGAGAGAGGGCCCAGAGGCTAAGAGCACTGGTTTCTGAGTTCAATTCCCTGCACTCACAAGGCGGCTCACTCACAACTATCTGTAACTGTGCTCCTATAGGAACCATGATCTCTTGTGGTGTGCAGATGCACATGCGGACACAACACCCTATACATAAATAGATCTCTAACAAAAAGTGTTAGAGATCTAGCCAGCCTCATAGAAGCTGGGGCTAGAATCTGCTAAGCTCTTCAGACAGGCCAGATTTGCAGACTAGAGCGTCATCCCAACTAGTGATGGCACAGGCCAGATACTGAACACTTTACTCTTAATTCTCTACTTCACAGCTAGAATGGAAAAAAGATCTTCTACACCCAAAAAAAAAAAAAAAAAAAGGTGGCAAATCGCTCAAACCACCCAGACCTGGTCAGTCAGGTTCCTTACGTGCCCAACTGCAGGGCGGTAAGGAGGCTGGTGCTCTCCAGCCTCCTACACTCCTGGGAAACTGTTAATTAGTTAAGACAAAAGCTTTAATAGCTAGTTGATAATCTTTATTTGTAGAAATTTAACTCTATGCAAATTACAAAACAATCTTATGTACAAAATGGGCATCTCAACATTAGCACATGATAAATAAAATCTAATACACTGTAATACAAAGTAAAAAAATTTAACTGCATAGGAATATACTAGAATAAAATCCAAACTATTGTCTTTGGTTAACTATTGTGATTATAATCATAAGTATCTATTATTTTCCATAATCAGCTTTATATTACTTACAAAAAAACTAGAAAGCACCTTTGCCCCCCAAAAAACTTTTGCCATATGACCTTGTTCCCAGGACTTAGGTAGGTCAAATATCAGTTATTAATTGGATGTAAGTGCCAGAAGCAGAAGTCACACGTGGCACCATCTTGTTTAGAGAGGCCTGTTTGTTTATAAAACCCTGTCTTCCTATAGCTCCAAGACGCTCCTTTTTTCTGATGTTCAAATGTCAGTGTATGCTTTGTACCATGTTTGATTAGAACAATTAAGAATGGACATACACTAAGTCCTGGTTATGTAACTTAGAGGAGCAGGATAACCAATCACAAGTATAAAAAGAGCTTTATTAGTGCATATATACAAATTTACAATGTCAGAAACTGGAGAAATACAAACAGCGTTAGGACACAATTTGCCTTTTCCTCAGTTTAAAGTGACCTTTCCTGATTGTGATACAATAGAAAGTATACAACAGTGAACTGCTTCTTGCTTCTTAAATACTGGAATCTTATGGAGAGTATATTCACACATAGAAGGAAGGTGAATTTTTGAAGTGGGTAAGACAATGAAGACAATACACAAAGTGGCTTATTTCACTACCATATACTTAGGGGGAATTTCTCAAAATCAAGGATCTGAATACCTGCGGCTGCTACTCCTGCCCGTATATAAACATGCCACCTGGTGTAAATGAGTGTTGCAGGACTTCTGAGAAAGTGTGGCCATCAGCACAGGTCTCAACACTTCAGGGGCAGCAGACTCGAGGAGGAGGTCAGAAAGATCCCGATGGTCAAGCAAGACAGGATACAGAGCTGCCTTCTTAATTGCACTTGTTCTGGAGTAGACGGTAAGGAGAGTGTCACACTAGGAACTAAACAAGCCTCTACTGGGCAGAAAAGCCCTTTTTGCCAGCGAGTCCTACACAGAAGTTTCATGCCCATGACGCACAGCTTCCTCAAGACTGACTCATACCTAACATGCTAAGTTTGCCAGTGTAAAAAGAAACAGCCAGGGCAAAGCAATTCTAATCACCTCATCTTCAGCAAACAGAAAAACTACATTTCATAAACGGACAACTTTGTATGCACGGGTTCTTGCCCAGGAAATGTATGTTCCTCCTTCTAACGTTTACAGTTCCTTTGACAATGTTGAAAACTGGGTAAGACTCTGAACATAAAACAAACAAACAAAAAAATTCTTTTTAATTTAAAACTATGTGTTGGGAGCCATTTTTCTTCTCTTCAGTCTTGCTCGCCAATCCTCAGGAAGGGCTTCAAAATTAGCATTTCTTTCTGCCAAGCCACTGTGAAAACAATATACATATTATTACTTCACTGGAAAGAGAACGGGACTTTTTCTTTAGAAATAAAAACTCTAACTGAAACTGAAAACTGGATCTCACGTCCATTCAGGAAAATGTTTCAAGGTTCAGTCAAGGAGCCATACACTCTTCCCGAAGGACTGTGACGTGAAGAATGCCTCCCCCAGCCAAGCACAGCGCGGCCCCTCCCTCCCGTGGGCGCCCGCCGTACCTGACAAGCTGCTGCTGCTTCCACTCCTCGATCCGCCTCTGTGCTGTGGACTCCCGGTCCTCCTCGCTGGAACTCGAATTGTCCTCCTCGTCTAACTCCCGCTGGATGCTCTGCCACTTCTTAACCAAAGAGGGCATTTTGGTTTTACTTTTCTTTGCCTAAAACAAAGTTACAGATCAGAAGAATGTAATACAAAAATAAGGAAAGATAGATCTTTACACTGGAGATCAAGATCTTTCTTTCCCTGAAACCCAGGAAGAAATGCCATGTTGGCTGCATCCAGAAACTCCAAGGCTGCCATGTACCATGGAAGTGGCAGAAAAACTGGCAAGTGGTGTGTGTGTGTGTGTGTGTGTGCGCGCGCGCGCGCGCAGAGAGCGTGGAGCGCTGACTCCGGGCATGACGTGGCTGGAACTCTACTGACCTCACAAGATGAGGCCTATCAACAAGAGCCTCTCAGGAAGAAGGCAGGGGCTTATGGGGCCCCACCCTTCCTAGGATTTATACACAGTTAATGGTTGACCGAGGAGGGAGAGACGGGTTTTTGGTGGCAGAGGCACCGGTAAAGTGCTCATGCACCTGTAAACCATAAAGTTCACTGGGTCATTATAAAGAATAACGATAAAGCCAGGTGTGGTGGTGCATGCCTTTAGTCCCAGCACTCAAGAGGCAGAAGCAGGAGGACCTCTGAGTGTGAGGCTAATCCAGTACAAAGTGAAATCCAGGGCTACTCAGAGAAACCCTGTCTTGAAAACAAAAAAAGACATGCAAGCAGAACGCAGGTGTGTGTGTGTGTGTGTGTGTGTGTGTGTGTGTGTGTGTGTGTGTGTTAAACAAAAAGAATGTAGACGAGTTGGTGCTGTGGGATGGTCTGTATGTCAAATTGCTCTGATTGGTCAACAAATAAAACACTGGTTGGCCAGTGGCCAGGCAGGAAGTAGGTGGGACAAGGAGAGAGGAGAATTCTGGGAAGTGGAAGGCTGACGCAG